CACTTCATTGAGTAGCCAAAGAAGAGCATCGTGGGGTGATGTCATTAGGTATCCACGTTCGTGAGTGCTGGAGTCAAGCACACCTTCATTAAGTAGCTAGAGATGAGCACTATAGGGTGATGCCGTTTAGTTTGTCGCAATTCAAGTTGGGTTTTCACACAATTCTATCAAGGTTGTGTGAGAAAGATGTCAACTTTCTAAGCATGTGTTGTTTTAGCACTTGTTAAATCCGGTTTGTTTAGTGTAACGTCCAGCTTACACGACGCTTGATCATAAACTTTCAAAGAAAGTTGCACCAATCATATGCAAGCTGGATGCTCTAGCTTGAGGGAGAGTGATGAAGTATATTTATGAAGATTTAAGATTTTCTTGTTAAAGAATATCGTTAGAGATATTATTTGATATTGGGGATATTATTTAATATTTCATGATTCTCTAAGATAGCTAATTTCCTTTCCTATGCATATTGTTCAGGTATAAATAACCTCCTCTAATTACATGTAAAGTCAAGCCAATTAAGTAAAAATGTAGTTTTTACATCCTTGCTTGATAGTATTCATTCGAGTGCCTCATTCTCGTCTGGGTAAGCGCCATAATGGTCGTGCTGCGCCATAATGGTCGTGCTACGACGTCAAGACGTGACTCCAAGTTGAGCTTTTGTTTTTCTTAGAGGTATTTTTTCGATGCCGCAAAGACGCGTCTTCGTGCAATAACCTTTGTTCAGCAGTGCCTGGCTTATTCGGCCTGTTGTAGCGAAGCGAACACCACCACTACACTCACCGCCATCAGACTATTAAAATATTGAAATCTCGTCGTCAATGGAAGCTTGGAGCCACCACACGCACCTTACGCGTAGCCGCGCCACACATCCTCCATGCCCGACTGTGCGGTGTTGATTTCGCTGTTTGATTTCATGTCAATCAAAGATTTTGGGATATTGTTCGGATTATTTTTCAACCTCAAGTTGATTTGTTCCAACTCATCTTGCATTTGAGAGGGGACGTTAGTGATATTAGGATATTTACCTAATTTTGCATATTTCTCAAAATTACGTATATATCTCCTTTGATAGTGCATATCATTGATTGATTGTATTTGATATTGTGTTTATCTTATTAGCTTAGATAGCCATCTCATACGGCCTTTACATAGGCTCTCCATGTAGTCTTTTCTAGATATTGAAATATAGACAAAAGTCCAAAACTTTATTTTCCGCTTTACATTTTTAACATGATATTAGAACTTGAGGTCGTAAGTTAGAATCTTTCCAAGCTCTATTTGTCTCCCAATGAAATATATACACGTTTAGTACTAGGAGTGTTAGAATGTTTAAATAATAAATCACGCATTCATCTACCAGCAAAGCTTTTAGAATAGTTAGCTGTGATCTCACCAAACTTCACATTAAAGCTCAATAGATAACAACAAGCTATTGTATCTTGATAGTAATCGAGTACTGGGGCACAAGGTTAGTTTCATGGAAAGTTGAGATGATGAGTGTTAGAAAATACTCTTAATGAAATTCACGGTTATAGCAAAGCAATGCTAAGGTAATAAGTTAGGAACTTTACCTGTATAAACATAAGAAGTGGTGCCACTTCTAACAAAAGTTGGATGAGTTTAAATGTTCATGTACACAAGAGGGAGCATAAGGATATAAAAGTACTAAGGTATAGGAAATTTCTAAGCAAATGTATATAAATTCATATGTGTGATAATTGAATTAACAAATGGACTTATGGTTCAAAGTTTTATCTACAAGTGATATCCCTAATTGAATTGTTTACACTAATTGAAGGTTCAAATCTTAACATACACCTTCTTATATGTATGAATCTATGTAATTTATTATTGATAACAAACTGAGAGCGGGATTGTTGAAATAGTTTGTTATCGGCTTCCTATGGCTATCATTCAATATGAAAACTTTGTTGCATTGACCGAGTTTTCTAGGATTCTGCATTCAATTTAGCAACTTTTTCTGGACTTATCTTTACTAACGCTTGGATGACATGGCCAAAGATTAGTCCGATGCGAGATTGATTGTCGGATCGGCGCGTACTTTCGTATGCTTTAAGGTTCATCTTCTTCGTAATATACAAAGTACTTAAGGTGGACACAAACGAAAGAAGGAAGGAAGAATCAGTCGTCCCCCACATTCAAGGAGGGAAGTTCCATGAACTCACTTAATGAAACTGCTGTTCGATCCATCATAAACCCGAGGCATATGATTTCGACGATCATAAGCAGAGGCTGTATGATCCCAGAATCATTTATTGTACATCAAACAACTTGAGTTTAATTGTGCCACGTCCAAGTGCGCACGGATTGTCGATTTCTATTGAAAAGAAACCCGGTCTGGATTGTTTTCTTTTTTAAAGTTTTTTAATTGCCTGCATGGATCATGCTTAGCTTTGACGTCGGCCTCCATCGACCACCAAGTTATGGCCGGTGATAAATTGGGAGTCATCAAAGGCGAGAAAGACCACGGCGTCCGCCACATGCCTTGCCGTCAGCACACCTCTCATGCACGAGGACAGCTTGAACATTGCCTCGACCTCCTCCTTCCCCAATCCAAAACACCCTGCATAGCAGTGGTGTCCCGATCGCGCTGGGCAACATGCAATTCACTTGCATGCCGCCCGCACTGAGCTGCTTGCTCGCCGACCGCACCAACCCCAGCACCGCGTGCTTCGACATGCAGTAGTCGATGTAGAGGTCTGCACCCATGCTGCCCATGATGCTTGCGGTGCATGTTATGATCCCGCAGCCACTGCCGGCCACCATGGGCCGGGCCGTGTGCTTCACGCTTGCTGCCACGCCCCGACGTTGACTGTGAAGAGGCTTTCGTGGCCCTTCGTGTCGAAGTCGAGGACGTCTTGCTTCGACGAGCTCATCACGCCAGCGTTGCAGAACATTATGTCCAAGTGCCCTCGGGATTCGAACCGTGGACTCCGCTAGGGACTTGACATGTTCCTCGTCCGTGACGTCGCAGAGGACGTACATGCAGCGCTCGGGGCCGATAGATTTCACCGGGCTTTGTCCCTTCTCATCCTGGACATCAGCGATCACAAGGTAGGCCCCGTGATGAGCGAACTGGTGGGCCGTCTACTCGGCCCGCTCGCGCCGCCGGTGTTGACGGCGACTTTACCGTCGAGTTTTCTCTCTGGAGACGAGTGGTCAGCCATAGTTCTCTCACTGGAAGCACTCAAATATGAAGTGAATAATTCTCGTTGAGTTTGCTTGGTATGCACCGAAAAACTAAGAGAAGCGAATCCATCTGCATTTAAATATTAAGCGCTAACTTGTAAGAGATCAGTAAATTTTTTTTATCTTGACTCGGTCAAAGTTTGAATGACTCTTAAGGTGCTCAACAAGAGTAGCTATTGGACCGCCCATTGATTGAATTATTTAAGTTATCCTAGGATTTCTGAAATTTGCGTCAATTAGGGTTTTTGGTTCTATTTATGTGGGATCGGATGATGCAATAGAATTCCAAATTGCTGCACTCCCATGTAGTTGTATTGGCTGGAATTTTATGATCATTGGCTGATAAGCATATTCTTTTTGGAGGCTTTCGTTGCGTTTCTCTTGTCCTTTTTCACTCCAACCGTTATGATGTAAAGTGTATCCGCTTAATCACAATTTATATTATGGGTGAATATATAATTACACAGAAACGTTTGGGACTTAAGGAAGTCAAGTTCTATACATTTCCCCAAATTACATTTGAGTACTAATTCATGAAAAAAGTGTATCATGTGACGTTTAGGTTACGCGAGCATAAAAACACTAGAAGCGACAAAAGTTTCATACAGTGTTTACTTTAGTTTCAAAAGTTTCTTAAGTGTCATTTTTTAAAAAAAAAGGACCAATTAAGTGACAATTTTGATTTGGGTTGTCAGAAATCTTACGTGGCCATATTTTATAACTTGTTCTGATCGACGTGGATTGCCAGCATGTCCGGTAAGCATATATACACCTAAAAAAACGTCGTCTACATGTTTTACCTCAAATATAAACCCTAAATCGACCATTCAACCAATTTCCGAAATTTGAAACCCTAAATTGAAACTCTAATTCGGTTTTGAGAGAGGAGGATTGGCGTCCATAGCTCTCACATCCTCTTGCTCGCTAGAGTTTGGTGCTCACCGTCCGTCCCTGAGATCTTGCTCTCTCAAGCCCAGCATGCCACTAAGCTCCTCCCTCCTCTCTAGATCCATTGAGAATTGCGCATTCTAGCTCAAATCAAACGCCGCCATCGCCGGCGCTGCTCGCCTTCTCTCTCCTCTCCAAAATTTAACTTCCAAATCGGGATCTCATCGGAGCTTGACGGTCAAGGTGATCGTGTCCGCCTATGGGACGGCCGTCTCTCCATCGGCGTAGCCATGGCAAGGTGCGGCCATGATGCCTCTCCTTGCCTGCATTGCCACCGGGGTCATCCTTTGGTTCGTCCTTGTCCCAGCTAGCGTCTCGAGGAACACGTGCTGCTCGCGATATTCCTAGTGACTATCATCAGAATCATCACCTAGCCCTTGCCACTGGGCGTCGTCGCGTTGATGGGGCTTGGAGCCTCCGTCCTCACCAAGACTCGCTCGACGTCATTTTTGGCATGGGCTTCATGCGACGCCATTTTTACGGAAGCCAGCCATATCATTTCGTGCAACGTTATTTAGGAAGTCCCCAAGGACTCGTTTTCAATATAAAATTGCCAAGGCAGATTAAACTTTTTAGTATAAAAGCCACTAATATTTTTGGCCGGAATATCTCGTAAGAGGTACTTAAGTTATCGTTTTCTCTCCAATTTGACACTTAAATGAGCTGGCGAAAACTTTCGACATTAAAGTGAGTGTCGCACGAAACTTTTGGCATTTTTAGTGTTCTTATGCTGATCACGCGTCATGAGATTATAGCTTTTCATATTGGAAGTTGGGCTTTCATATTATTTCTTTCGGTACTACTTTGGTTGAAACCAAATAAGAAAGGCATACAAACGATCGGACCAACATGACTCAATTATTCAAGCCTAGTGAAGTTGCACTTTCAAATTATTTCTTTCGGTACTGCTTCGCTTGAAACAAAATAAGATAAGGCATACAAACGATGAGACCAACATGACTCAATTATTCAAGCCTAGTGCAGTTTTCAAGTTGTAGCCAGGATGAGTCCTCATAGCTTGCAGAAACTAACTTCAACTTTATCAGCTGGTGCAGGGTGCGGAAGATAGACGAAACCCGGGTCTGAGTTGAGCAACTACCACCTGATAATTCAATTTCCAAACATTTTTGTTAATTTTATGGTTCAATGAACTGGAGTTTCTCTAGTCAGTGAGCAAACGGTTCACTTTTTTCTTACTTGTATCCTACTGATAAATGATGCAGTAAAATCGCCAGTTGAATCCTCGCAAGCATGTTTCCTGCACAGATTCTCGATCCCCCGCCAAACACTTGGTATGCCACCGGCTTCACAGATTCCTGAAGAACATGACTGAGTATTACATAGGTTTGCCCGAAAGAGAACAAAGAAAGAAAAAAGGAAAGCGAATGCTTTGACCATGAACATAATTGATATCGAGCCTTACATTCCACCTATCAGGATTAAAGCACAAGGGGTCATCAAAGTTTTCCGGATTTGTGTGCAGGTATCGGAGCCACAGAATCACTTTCCATCCCTTTGGTATCCTATAACCTGCACAATTATCGGGCATCATTACGGCAAATCTCTATCTTTAATTGGTCTGAACTGGACTCAGCAGCCACAACAGTTCGTGTAGGTATAATGTATCTAAGTTGGTAATAACTAACGCACTAGTTGCAGAGAAAATCTGTGAAAAAATTACAGGTTAAAAATGGCCGTAAAAAGGCAGTCTGATAAAACCACAATTTGAAGATCTATCCCGCAGTAGAGCTGCGGGCCATAAAGCATAAGCTAATAATATCTATCTGCAAGACTCGGATAATTTCAAACCTTCGTAGTCGATGTCCTTTGTGGCTAATCTGAATATAAAAGCCGCAACATTAGCCATTCTTATTGTCTCCTCCGCCACCTGTGTCACTAATTGTCAGCTTAAAAAATTTGCTGTCAAATGCCGCTCAAACTCTGAAATTCTCCAATGATTTTACCTTGTTAGTATATTTCATGTTCGAGATGTCTTCGATTGTGATGAACCCACCATTCTTGTTCTGGCTAATGGACATGTTCTCTTCCTGCCATTCAAGTCAAGATTCACAAGTTGCAACGAAACAGTGGATGAGGTTCTGATAACGAAGCTTTACAAAGTTTGACGAATCGGTACCTGGAGTTTTTTTAGAACATTGGGATACTTGGCAAGATAGTAAATAGCCCACATCGATGCAAGTGTAGTGGACTCATAACCGCCGACCACAAGGGCAATGATGTTATCTAGCACTTCTTGGTCAGATAGTTTTTTGCCTTCCTCATCTTTGATTTGTCGGATCCCGTCCATAAGATCGGTAACAGTTTCTTCGCTTTGGCTTTTCCTCTTCTCTATCTCGACCCTAAAAATCGCCTCGACCTTCTTCCGGCACTGCAATAGTGTATTGGGCAAATATTTCAGATCATTTGGGGTTTTAATTGGGCAGCTTGGCTTAAAAACTAGGACAATTCAACCCGGCATTGCTTTCTTAGTTTTACGGTCTTTTTGCGCTGTAGTATTGGATTTAACTTGTTGGACAAGAATATAACTTCAAACTTGTACGCAGAGCAGGAGATGAGAACTCAAGTTGTCATCATTCGCCAACTTATTAGATTGGAAAAAAGATTAAATATTCCAATTTGATTGAACCTGCAGAGCACGGTGATATGCAGTTCCGGGGAAATTGAGTGGCTGAGCTCTCATCCCTTTAACCATATCATGAAGTAACCGATCGATCTTATGCAATTGCGGCCCCGGCTCAAAACTCACAAACAGTTTCCCGATGTTCTCTAAGGTCACCTGCAAGCAAACAAGATATACAAAATTTAACAACCACATATAAGACCTTGAGGACGATTTGAAGGGAAAAATTTAATCATGTGAACAATGAAGTCATGTGATGTTGAGCCTATGCGATGGACTACACCTTCTTAGTTTCATGGTAAGCGACGATTCTGCCTTTTTGGGCCCACAGCTCAAGGGCAGCAACCAAACGAGGCTGTACCAAAGCAGCTATTCGGCGAAGAGCATCGGGTCGGTTAATGGCATTCAAGACAAAGCTCCTGAGCCTGGCATGTGCCTTTCCGTTAACCGCCACCAGAGAAGTGGCGCCCATAAGATCAACATTCGGCCATTCCAGGATGAATTTGTCGTCGGCTCGGAAGACAAACTTGTTCACTGATGGGAAGCATGCTATGATGCAAGGCGATCCAAAGAGGTGGGTCCTGTACATTCCTACTCCATCACCATACCTGAAGCATGTACAGAGACATTAGCAGAAACTAAAGACAAACACTACCCTATCTCTTGGTTTCCTGTTTCCCATTATTTCAAACACAATCCTGCATATCTTCATGGAACCAGTTTTCGGGCGAATGGAAATCGTACTTCCGTCTTTTAGAGCTTATGAACTCGTCTGGGCGGCGAAGAATCTTGAAGTACCAGAGGAAGGTGAAGAGTTCTCCAAAGAAGGGAAACCCCATGTGTCCTGGCGGCAACTTCACACCGGCAATGGAACAGCTTCGCTTGACTGGCAACGCATACCAAATCTCATTCCACCACCACAACAACCAACCTAGAAGTGGGATGAGCCCCAGAATCCAACCTAGCCACGCTTCCATTGGTGCACTCTCCCTTAATCAATATCGTACCTATTTTCAGTGTGCGGAAAACTTGCTCACTCTTCTTAATTTATACCAAACAGATGAACCTGCCTTGGATAAACACGGCATGGTCACACAATTTCTTTTGGGTTTGATTGATTCTATTGAGATTCTTACATTTGATCCGTTTACTAAAAGACAAGCCATATCACTCTCTCCACAGAAAGCGACAAAAGTGTTTTGGCTGTGTCAGCTTCATGTTCATTGGCAGATTTTCTTTTTCTTTAACGAGTACAGCAATTAAGAGGCAATCATGTACTTACACGTCGAGGCTGAGCTCTAGAAATCATCATACATATCAAGATTATGTATGAGAGAGCTTTTTGGACCTCTAGGCAGAGGAATCTTTTCAAGCCAATAATGATTTGTGACTGCACATTTGATATGGCAAAGTCTATTTTCTCAATTTGTTTCTTTTCATTATCTCTAAAACGGAAGATGGGCTTCACCGTTCATGTAGCAATCCTGCTACATGCTCACGGGTTACACAGCACCAAGTCCAAGGTCACGAACTGCACAACACCAAGACCCCAATTCCTACCCGAGACATATATATCAAGGAACAGGTTACTTTCAATAGCAGAGCATTTGAGTATGTTAAATCATGTCTAACCCGATCCATCCGATTAGAGGATGAGATTGGTTTGTTAAATCGAATCTTGTAGAAAAGAAAAGAAATCCCAAACAAATCACTTTCCCATTTTAAATAGAAGTTTTTTTTTTCTTGGAGGCCAATCATATTCACGTGGGGGGTTTGTTTCTTAGATATAATATTCAAGATTGACCGGTTAACCAAGAGCTGCACTTCTTGGAAAACCTATAGTGGACGTGACATGAATATATAATATTCGGCCGCATATATTTTCCCTTTTTAAGCCGCATCGGGGACTCAAAACAAAGGAGTAGCACGGAGAACTCCCTAAAGTTGCACAAAAGGAAATAAAGGAAGAGCTATTATTTTGAACGTGCGAAGGAAGGCCAATTTATCTGCTGTGAGTTTTACATCCAATTAAGTTATTTATTTGTAAATATTTTAAGTTTGAGTGTAATCTAGGCGTGGAAAACATTCGAGCGTGTGAGCGATTGTATCTCTGGTTATCTGATTATAGTGTATTATATATCGTGGGCTATCGTACCAACACTCGAACCAAGCTACATAAATCTATGGTGTCTTTTATTGTTCATCGTTTTCTGGTGATTTATCGTTGATTTAATTGCCAACTTAGTCTCATATAAGGGCTGTAATTCGGCTTGTTCCCGCGGCAGATTTTATCCAAAATTTTCTGGTGTTATCATAATTGAAGAAACCTCAAATTGAAGTTAGACCAATTGAACAATGGCCGAAACAAAAAGCAAAATTGAATTCACTTGTTCATGGAAAAAAGAGTATGAGACCAATGTAAGGTTTCAATCTTGAGGTTAATTAATTATAGCCAGATCAACGCTCATTAACATAGCTCTTCTAATAGATTTCATGTCTCAAGCACATTACGGGCAATGGCGGGGGAAACAGAGTCCGAATTCAGAATCCAGAACGAGAAGACGCAAAATCGACCAGATCGGGTGTTTTGAGCTGTGCGACTCAAAATCCCTGTTTAGCCAAACAATGATCGATCAAAAGGCACGAAGTCGAAGCGTCAAAGAAAAAGAAGGATCTCCATGTTCAGTATACGATGAATAGAGCAGGCAAACACGTAGCTACCAGAGAGAGAGAGAGCGCGCACTCACCAGAAAACTTTCGAAAAAAATGGGCAAAAGTACACTAGAAGTGCCATAACTTGTGTACGGTGATCACTTTGGTGCCATAACTTTTTTTCGGATCACTTTGGTGTCAAGTCGGAGGAAAATAGATCAATTTAGTGACTCCGGCCAAAATTCTGGCCAAAAAGCTGACCTGGCATTTATATTAAAAAAAAATGGTCTGACTTGTACACGTGGAAATTATGTGGCTTTTTTTCAAATTTTTTAATTTTTAGAAAAATAATAATAATTAAAAAAAAAAGGTTGCAGCAGCGGCGAGGGAGCCCTCGCCGCTGCTGCTGCCAACCCACCACCGCTGGGAAGGGCCAGTGGTGGTGGGCACAGTGGTCGGCGAGGGTCGCCGGCCCCTGGCCGGGGCCCGGCGACCCTCGCCTCGCCCAGCGAGGGTCGGATCCGGCGAGGCGAGACCTCACCGTCACGACCCAGGCAACGGCGAGGTCTGGCCTCGCCGTTGCTGGGTGAGGCGAGGGTCGCCGGTGTCACGCCCCGAACCCTATGAAGCGCGAGCATCCCACCTCCGGTCGATTATGGTGCGACGCTCCCAGGAAACGTTGCCGACCCAACGCCCAAACAGAGAGTAAAGCACAAGCGGAAGTAATTAAATAAACAATCCTGACAATTATAAAATACGAGCCAAGGATAGCCAAGCAATAAACACGATCACAGCAGAAAATATGTACATACTTACATTACTATAGAAAACCTTTTTACAATACCCATCGAACAACAAAAGCGAGCAGTACAAACAGTCAACAGCCACTGGGTCAAAAGGGTAAGTGGCTAGGGTGAGGTCAATTACTCAAGGAGGACTACAGTCAAAAAGTCACATGCCCTCCACTGCTAGCTATGGCTCAGGGTGCTCTTAGGGATTCCAGTCAAGATCTGAGGATTCCGAGGATTCATCCGACTGCTCCTCTGACTCCATATTTACTGCTCCGTCTCCACAGGGGTGCATGCTCAACGATCGCTGAATGCGATGCGGTATCCCAGAAAGAGGTGGTGACCTCGGCATTCTACGGCTGGGGGTCTGAAATGTTTCGGTTTACACAACCGTGAGACGAATCTCAGTGAGTTCAACCCCTAAACCTAGGCTAGGCTAGCATGCAATCTCCTGACCGGAAACAAATATTTAAATCACAATACAACAATAATCAAACCATTCTCTGACCCTACAGGTTAGACAGATCAACATATAATAGTCACGGCACATACGTGGCACACATTATCACACGTACGCCAATCACATGCTCATGCACCGAGTCTCACACACTCGCATCCTAGTCCATGCATGTTCATGCATGCAAATGTCGTTGACAGGTCATGTATATTTCCCGGCCCACTGGCCCACACTGGCAATCGCCCAATTTATTATTTATTACGACGACTCGAGTCAACAACATCCACGGCCCGGTGCGTCTAGCCTGCTTCAAAGTGCATGAGGCGCAGCAACCGATCTGGCCCAGTCTCTCTAGCCTGCTTCAAAGTGCATGAGGCGCAACACTGATCTCCTTACGAACCAGAGCCTGCTTCAAAGTGCATGAGGATGGTCGTCTTCCGGACGTACCGGGCATCGTCCTGCTTCAAAGTGCATGAGGACGGTATCAACCCGAAGGTCATGACCCAAAGGTCCTTAGGTGATCACACAACCAATTATTATCTGAACCCAGCGTAAAACGCTTCAGGGTATTTTAGGTGATCACATGCTCATGGCAGGCACGCATTCTCGCACAATTTCATCACATGCCTTACTCTTGGCATACACAATGCGTGTCCATGTTATGCAATGCAATGCACCACGAGCGCCAATATAATTCAAACACTCAATATCACAACACGTGCTCAATTGACCCAATTAATACCGTGTGGCCTAACGTGCGAATCACAAATCAACAATTAATTTCAAACCAATCATTGGCCAATCGCACTCCACATAATTCAACCACACGACATGTGACATGGCAGTACGAAGTCAATCACAATTAAGCACAAATTACGTACAACCAGTCAATCCGGACATACCCGGTAATTTTCCAATGGGCTCCTAAATTGGTCATTTAATCCAATTAATCTCCCCAAATAATTCTCATTAATCCACTAAATTTTCCCAATAATAATTTCTACCAATCAGTCCTCATCCCAGTCTGAAATATACACTGATACTACCTAAGCCAGTCCAAAATGCACCGATAATACCTAAACCAGTCCAGAAAAATGCACTATCAGTCCTAATCCGGGTTTAGGAATTTTACTCACTTAATCCAAGGTCACGACGACGGGGGAACGGCAGCCGATCACTGGTGAACAGTGAAACCGACGGCGGAATTCCCGACGACAGCGTACGGACGGCGTGAACAGTGACCCGTACGGACGACGGTGAACAATACCCCCCCCCGTACGGACACTGTACGGGGGACAGGGGAAAAACGGTGGCCGGGGAGGTGGCGGTGGCCGGCGCGACGGCCGTACGGACGCTACAGTACCGACCGTATGGACACTGTACGGACGGGTACGGTCGGCGTCGTACAGCGTGGCTAGATGGCTGGGTGGTGACGGAACGGCGATCCGAGCTCCGGCGAAGCTCCGGCGGCCCTATTTGCCGGACGGGAAAGAGAGAAAAAGAGGAAGAAAGAGAGAGAAATAGAGAGAGAAAGGGTCGGACAGGGGCAAGGCTGAGGCTGGGGGCTGAGGTGGTCGACGGCGAGGCACGGTGGCCGGCGGCGGCGCTCCGGCGGCCGGCGGTGAGTTCCGACAAGGCTTGGCCAAGAGAGAACAAGAGAGAGAGAGAGATTTCGGGAGAGGGGGCTGCTGGTGGAGCTGCTGGCCGAAGGAAAATGAGGGAGGAGAGAGAGAGGGGGGTCAGTTGGTCAATAAAGTGGCCTAGGGGCGACACGTGTCGCTGATCCGGCGGTTTTGACCAAAATACCCTTAATCTAACGGTCTCGGTTGATCCTATCCAAATAATTGAGGGGCAAAAAGGTCTTTAGCCCCAATAATGCAGCTGATAATACTCTTAATTATCCCAATTAATTTCCCAAAAATTCGGACCCGAAAATAGCCCAGGGGCAAAATGGTCATTTTTCCGGTCTCGGGGCGAAATTCCAATTTTCGCCCGTACCAACCCTCCATGTGCGTGGCCAACATAATATGGCGTCGGAATCGCGAAAACAGCCCTTTAAGCCCTCGAAAATCGACTGCAAAGTTTCGGGAATAAAATAATATTATTTTTCCAATTTCTGTCGAAAT